TTTAGAAATAATTTGGCAAAAATGAAAAATTTTAGGAGATAAAGTTTATTATTAAACTAGATATAGTATCTTTCCTAGGAAATTGTGCTTTTGGGTGAGTGATAGAGGTATAACTAACAACTTATTTTAGAATCTTCGAACTATTATTAATTTTAGGTTTCTTAGTTTTTTTAATACTAAATGACGACTCTAAAATATGTTTTAACTCACATCCCCCGTAAATAAACAAAATAAATAATTTTTAATTGAAAGTTTTTAGAAGTCACCCAAATGTCGGATAACGACAATGGAAGATATATTTTTAAAATAATCCGGAGAATTTTTTTTAATTATTGTATAAATTGATATGGAAAATCTTCTTAGGAACCCAAAAAAAAAAAAAAAAATTCTTGACCTTAATGTGATCCAGTCTGAATGTGTTAATTTTTTTTTACATTTGTCTTGAAATGAATTTTCATTTTCACTTAGGTTCCAGGATATAACTATAGAGTGATCAAAAAATTATCTCAACCAAAAAATTTAAGTAGTTAGATAAGACTCTATAATATGATTTAAATTACTTTTTAATAAATTTCATAATAGAAATTGAAATTATTCAAAATATTATAAATGATAGATAATTTATTCTCAATTTAATTTTTATATATAGTACTCTTCTATTTTGTCTTTCTTAAATGTAAGATTTTTCTATAATAGAAATATATCATTTTTTTTTGTAAAAAGAGAAAGAAAGAAAAAATATATCATTTTTTATAAAGTACATGGACAGATTAAATACTAGCTAGTTAATTTGATAAACATAACAATTAAGTTGCAAAAATAATTGTGGAACAAAATAGAAATTCACACAACATTAGATGACTTCCCAGGACAAATTTTAGTAACTCTTTGATCAAAACTTCAGTTAAATAGAAAAATCAATTTGGATAATTCGTTATTAAGTTCATGGCATACATCTTTTAATTTATTCATACTTAACAGTAAAACAAGAAACAAAAGGGATAAGATGAAATGATCAAATAGCTATATAAAAAGAGATAAGGTTAAATTAAAGGCAGCTAGCTGTAGGGTTGTGGCAGTCAATGGTTGGACCAGATCAATGTGAATAAAACATTAATTAAATCATGTGTTGATAATAAATGAATGATTAGAGTCCTCCCATTTTTCTAAAGAGACCTTTTCTTTTTCTTTTTTCCCCTTTTGAACGTTCTAAAGACTAACTTGTACAACTTTACGTAAATTGCTATGATTTCCAAAACTTTCTTTTTTGGCGATATCATGACTATTATTAATGTGGTGAGATGGACTGAAGATTAATTATGACATTAGAAAATAATTATCCACAGATCATATTTGGCGGTGCTAATTAATTGAGAATTTCTGGAGATTTGTTTACTAATTAGTGAAGAAGTGAAGTGGGGTTAAGGTCATATTCAGTTTTGGCTTCATCTAAGGACCTAATATCACACACAAACTTAGTTAATTGGAGGACACAGTACCGTTTTTTTGTTTTCTTCTTTTTTTTTTAAATCTTGGTGATAATTAACATTTCTTTTTTATTGTCTGACAGTATATATGGCCCTCATCTCCATGTTTGCATGCTTTTTATTATGTTTTAAAAATAAAATAGAGATTTTTCTCACATCGGTTAAATGGGAGATTTGATGGAAAAGATGAAACATAATATTTCTTTACGATGAACTAGCTATCCTGCTGGACAATGAGAGGAAAAGTAAACACAGTGATCTACTTGACTAACGAACAAGAGACAAAAGGCAGACACAATATTTGCAGGGGCAGGGAGTGGCTGCGTCCGCGAAAGTATTAGCTGCTTCCACGTACTGAATTATTGGTGTAATTTGACGACTCCACGTTTTTGCAGCATGTGCTTTTTATTCCTGTTTCCTTCTGCTTGAGCTCTGTTTTTGTTTTTCTGTCCAACTCTCTGGTCTTTGCATGCAGTTGGTGTCTAATAATGTATATGCCATGGGCTTTACGCTATTAAAAAAACACAACCTCCATCTAATTTTGTTTCTTTCTCCTGCCCCTTTCCTTTGTTTTCCCTTTGTAAATACATTTGATTCAGATCCTTACGAATATAGATCTTTAGTCTTTGTTAATTATAGATTTTTCGTAGTTTCACTTATATTTGTACATATATATATATATATATATTTTTTTTGGGTTAATTATTCTCCCTTAGAGGTAGTTTAAGCTTTCCTTTTGTATTTTTGATTGAATCTCTTTACTTTTTCTGAAAGCATATCAATAAGCCATTTCCGTTATATATGCTTCTATTAGAAAATGCAAGAGAGAAAAGTTTTCAGTCTTTAAATTTTTAAATTTTGATCAAATAACTTTCAATAAAAAGATTTAATTATCTAAATTTTCATAGAGAGCTTGTTGGATCAATTCCCTCAATTGCATGATATTGAGGTGTGGTAGGGCCAAAATCTGGTTGCATAAACAAATAATGCACAGCCTAATAACATGCAAGTAGTTACCTAATTATTAATTAACACAGAATCTCTTATGCACAAAACATTAATTACGTACAACTAATTAACCTAACACCAAACCACATTTGATTTCTATAGAAAAGGGCAAAAGGCATAGGAACAGATAATGGTTAATTATAGTGTTAGGTGAGGATGACTTAAGTGTAGAGCTAAAAAACCTATACTCACTGCCACACCAAAATTGAAATTTTGGGAAACAAATGGTAGATATAGCTTGCTGGTGGTGTCTTTTAATTAATTAGATGACTTTTAACATAAAGAGAGAGCTAATCAAACAAGTAAAAGACTTCTTTTATACATAATTACCCTTTCTGGGTTACTTCATGATCGATTCACACCTTTATAACCCCTTGATAAAGACTTTTACTATTGTCTTTTTCATTCCTAATATTCTCTTTTCCAATTCACTGTCTTCCACTAGCTAGCCAGCCAGCCTGTCCCCTGTAGCAGCCCTTCTCTCTTCCAAGCAACATGGCAACAAAAAGGGGAAATATCATAATTGAAATTAATATATTTCTTCGTCCCTAACAACTCTTGCCCCACATTCAACACTTAACAGAGAAACAAATTGTAGACTTTTAATCAGAGTACTAGAAGTGCTCCATCTTACGGCATTGACTGGCCATGAGTGAGAGCTTGGAAGGTGCTAGCTAATTAATTATAATTTCAAAATACCTGCAAAATGTTCATATATCCCTTTCTGTTTTCCAAATATGTATAGTGTTGTTTCATGTACAGATATTAAAAGACTGTCACTAGCTAGGAATTTATTAGGTTAACTATTAATGCAGATTAATACATGCAAAAGTGGTGGGTTTTTCATCATTATCGTGCTGATTAATTTGGACAGCTGTGTGCATGAACTAGGATGATTCTAGGACGATGACTTTTAAGCAAATGGGCTATCAATTAAGGTCGATCTGAGACGAGGTGGAAACTAGAGATGCCATTCCCCATGTGCTTACATTTATAATTCTGCTGCTACTTACGACTTCTTCTTGTTTAACAATTTTAATGGAGATTATTATTAATTAATGCATACTAATATTAGTCTAATTATGTCCCATCAAATTAATAAAATCATTTCATTTTGTGGTTAATTTGAATTAGAACAATACTAATCTGAAATTATATAGCACAAACCGATTTGATTATGGAACAACTTAGTTAATTACTTTTGTAGCTAGCTAGGTTGTTTCCGGAAAGTGGGGACATGTTGATTTTCAAAGAAGAAACTTGCATTATTATCATTATTATAATTTCTGACACGAAATGAAAATGCATTCAGAAGTCAGAATAATTAACCATATATTCTCTTTTACAGCTTTTCTCTTTCTTCTCCTCCTTTTTTTTCTCTCTCTCCTTATAGCGTGAAACTCAGAATACCTGCAAAAGCTGCAGTGCCCATTATTAGTGATCCACATGCAATCTCATAATTGAGAAATCACATGCAATTTTGATCAAAATATGCCATCCAAGTCAAAAAATAAAAAATAAAAAAAAATCAAGTCTTTGTTTAGTGAAGGGAAGGCGCTTGTAATGTGCCCGGCTGGCCATAAACGTGCATTGTTAAAGAAATAGCAATCTGCAAACCCGTGACAGGCAGAAATGTGCACATCTCTAGCTCTTCTAATTTCTCTAAAAAATCTATAATTGTTTTTTCTGACTAAGAAAAAAGAAGAAAGAGATTGCATTAACAAATAAAGAAAGAAATAGAGTTAGTTAAGCATTTTCTCATAAGAATGGGAAAGGAAAAGGCTAGCTAGCTAGGAAAATTGGATCGTACGTGATTTTTTGAGTGTATAAGCAGGAAACACATAGGAGCTGCCAACTGCCTTATCTTACAACTATTATACAGAAGGATGCCAAATGTAAGGATTTCGAATTCGAGGAAGAGCAGTATTAATTCGACGAATCTTGTTAAAAAGCACTGCCATATTCAAAACCAATAAAATTGTTTTCTTTCATTTGGAGCGTTCTATTGGACTTTAGAAATTGATCTGCAAAGCTCATGATTCATAAAATGATGCTAAGCTACGTCAGCGTCAGCACTATTAAATAATTGAACAGGGTAGAGGAGTGGAATTTTTAAAAAATGACTTGAAATAGATGAAACAAAAGCATGATTAACTTATGTTATAGATTTGAATGATTAGTTGGAAATTAGTTCTGACGAATAGATAAGGAATCCAAGAGATAAAAAAAAATAATAATAATTAAAAATAGCAATGGAAAGGCAAGCTAGAAGAAAAAACCCGATTTGCTAGCTAGATTAATCAAAAGTCCAATCGTATAGGTCCGTGATGATAGCTCTCCTTCAACGACTGGACGGCTTGCTATAAATACTTTGTATTTATGCATGCTTTCTCATCAACACAGACAAAATCACCAAAAATTTCCCTCACCCTCTCTTTATCCAATAATAAAGAGAAAAAGGAGTAAAACTCATTGCTTATACTTGGTGGAATTTCAAGGGGAGGAATGACAGGTTCTAATGGCGGCCCCCTTTGGGGTCGTCTTTGGCCTCAATTGGCCGTGGCATTGGTTGTTCTCTTTGTTTCAAGCAATGTAGGTTCAGTCTCAGGAGATGCTTATGCTTACAGTTCACCTCCTCCACCTTATGAATACAAGTCTCCACCACCTCCTTCTCCTTCTCCACCACCACCTTATATGTACAAATCCCCACCACCTCCATCACCATCTCCTCCACCTCCTTATGAGTACAAATCCCCTCCACCACCATCTCCATCTCCACCACCACCATATGAGTATAAGTCGCCACCACCTCCATCCCCATCTCCCCCTCCACCTTATGTCTACAAGTCACCTCCTCCACCTTCACCATCACCACATCCACCTTACTTATATAAATCTCCACCACCACCCTCTCCATCCCCACCACCACCGTATGAGTACAAGTCACCTCCTCCACCTTCACCATCCCACCTACCACCTTATGTCTACAAGTCACCTCCTCCACCTTCACCATCACCACCACCACCTTACGTATATAAATCACCTCCACCCCCTTCACCATCACCACCACATCCCTACTACTATAAGTCTCCACCACCTCCATCACCATCTCCTCCACCACCATACCACTACAAGTCTCCTCCACCACCCGAACCTTCACCACCACCTCCATACTACTACAAATCACCACCACCTCCTTCGCCATCTCCACCACCTCCTTACTACTACAAGTCCCCACCTCCACCCAAAAAATCACCGCCGCCACCATACTACTATAAGTCACCACCTCCTCCCTCACCATCACTACCCCCACCATACTACTACAAGTCTCCACCACCACCTACTCATTCACCACCTCCACCTTATTACTACAAGTCCCCACCTCCACCCAAAAAATCACCACCACCACCATACTACTATAAGTCACCACCTCCTCCCTCACCATCACCACCCCCACCATACTACTACAAGTCTCCACCACCACCTACTCATTCACCACCTCCACCTTATTACTACAAGTCACCACCACCACCCTCACCATCTCCCCACCCTCCATACTACTACAAGTCTCCACCTCCTCCTTCACCATCTCCTCCACCACCATACTATTATAAATCTCCTCCACCACCTTCAAAATCTCCTCCACCTCCTTATTACTACAAGTCTCCACCACCTCCAACAAAGTCTCCACCACCTCCAACACCATATTACTACAAGTCTCCACCACCACCTTCACATCCTTTACCTCCACCCTACTATTACAAATCTCCACCACCACCTAAAGCTTTACCTCCTCCATACTACTATAATTCTCCCCCTCCACCTGTCCCTTACCCTCACCCCCACCACCATGATTTGATCGTCAAGGTGGTAGGAAAAGTTTACTGCTACAGATGCTATGACTGGGAATATCCAATGAAGTCACACGATAAAAAGCATCTAAAGGGTACATTTTGTCTTAAAATAAAGATTAAACATTTCTAACATTGTTAATCATAAACTTGCATCAAACTTATTAAGGTTCATCAAATTTAGTTTTGTTTATTCGGTGAAAATGACAGCACTAATTTTTGGATATCATGCATATATTTGTCGTGTTTCTAAATAGGAATGCATGTAGGATGTATACATGATTGATCCATTTTCAAACAATAATAACGATATTTGACGGCGACCAACTCACTATACATTAATATATTAATTAGTCATATGGTTTAAATTATATATATTAATTATTAATTATAAGACACTAATTTTTCGTTTTATACACATATATATAAAATGTGCACAAACATACAAATTTTTTCAGAACATTAACAGCTTGCACATTTCAAGTTTTAATTTTCACTCCAAATATTGGACTTACCTTAAGTAATTAGAGAAAATAACTTGAAAAGGACAAGGATGATGCGTGTGTTTGTGTGTGTTACTTGTAAAGTAGAGCGGTCCAATTTTGAAATTTCCAATCAATGATCAAACCCTTCTAAAAAAACCCTAATTAACTAATATAGATATATATATAATGTAGGATTAGAAGAAATTAGTTATTGAAGTGGGTACGGAATGCTATTATTTATTCTAATTTGACTTGCTAGCTGTTTATAACCATGTGACAGTACTTGCTCACTTTTATTATTGTGTGTGGAATAGGTGCTGTCGTGGAGATAACATGCAAGGCAGGTACCAAGAAGGTGAAGGCCTATGGTAAAACCAAAATCAATGGAAAATACAGCATTACTGTAAAGGACTTCGACTATAGAAAGTATGGAGGCAAGGCATGCAAGGCCAAGCTTCACGCAGCACCAAAGGGCTCACCATGCAACATCCCAACTGATCTACACTGGGGTAACAAGGGTGCCTCCGTCAAGGTGAAGTCCAAGACAAAGTACGAAGTTGTGCTCTCAGCTAAGCCATTTGCTTATGCTCCCAAGACCCCTTACGAGGAGTGTGAGAAGCCCAAGCCCAAGCCCACTCCTGCTCCTTACTATTACAAGTCCCCTCCACCCCCACCTCCTACTTACGTATACAAGTCACCTCCACCACCTCCACCAACCTACGTCTACAAGTCACCACCACCCCCACCTTATATGTATAAGTCACCTCCACCACCTCCACCAACCTACGTATACAAGTCACCACCACCCCCACCTTATCTGTATAAGTCACCTCCTCCACCACCATACATCTATAAATCACCACCACCACCAACTCATCCTCTACCACCACCATATTATTATAAATCACCACCACCTCCATCATCGTCTCCTCCACCTCCATACTATTATAAATCCCCACCACCACCATCGCCATCTCCTCACCCACCATACTACTACAAATCACCTCCACCACCAGTTCACTCTCCTTCCCCAACATACTACTATAAGTCTCCACCCCCACCATCTCCATCACCACCACCATACTACTACAAATCACCTCCACCACCGGTTCACTCTCCTCCCCCACCTTACTACTACAAGTCACCACCCCCACCATCTCCATCACCTCCTCCACCATACTATTACAAATCACCTCCTCCACCATCACCGTCTCCTCCTCCACCCTACTACTACAAATCACCTCCGCCACCGGTTCACTCTCCACCCCCACCCTACTACTACAAGTCTCCACCCCCACCATCACCGTCTCCTCCTCCACCCTACTACTACAAATCACCTCCCCCACCGGTTCACTCTCCTCCCCCACCCTACTACTACAAGTCTCCACCCCCACCATCACCGTCTCCACCACCACCCTACTACTACAAATCACCTCCCCCACCGGTTCACTCTCCTCCCCCACCCTACTACTACAAATCTCCACCTCCACCATCTCCCTCTCCACCACCACCATATTACTACAAATCACCTCCCCCACCATCACCGTCTCCTCCTCCACCTTATTACTACAAATCACCTCCACCACCAGTTCATTCTCCTCCCCCACCTTACTATTACAAATCACCACCCCCACCATCTCCATCACCTACTCCACCTTATCACTACAAATCACCCCCACCACCGGTTCACTCTCCACCCCCACCCTACTACTACAAGTCACCACCACCACCATCACCATCGCCACCTCCACCATACTACTACAAATCGCCTCCTCCACCATCGCAATCTCCTCCTCCACCCTACTACTACAAATCTCCACCACCTCCATCGCCATCTCCTCCACCACCATACTACTACAAGTCTCCCCCACCACCCGATCCTTCACCACCTCCTCCATACCACTACAAATCTCCCCCACCTCCCTCACCATCTCCTCCACCACACTACTACTACAAATCCCCACCTCCTCCCTCACCATCTCCTCCACCTCCATACCTCTACAAATCCCCACCACCACCATCGTCATCTCCTCCTCCTCCATACCACTACAACTCCCCACCCCCACCATCCCCATCATCACCACCTCCTTACCACTACAAGTCTCCCCCACCACCATCTCCTTCCCCCTCCTCCATACGTCTACAAGTCCCCACCTCCCCCTTCACCATCACCACCTCCTCCCTACTACTACCATTCACCTCCCCCACCTATGAAATCACCTCCACCCCCAGCTTACATTTACGCTTCTCCACCACCACCAATTCACTACTAGGCTCCGAAAGCTCCTCCATAAGTCACCACAAATCATGTAAGTAAAGTTTCTCTTAATCAATTTCTCACCATGTCAATTAGTGCCAAAACAGTTCAATATAACATCATTAATGTGATTAGTTCTCACTTCCAATCGTTCTTGACTTGCAGGTTTTAGTTTAAGCAATGTAATAAAAGAAGGATCCAGGAGCGAAAAGTGTAGATACGAAGCACCCTATCCAAATCCATTCAATAAGGGTCTAAATTTTGCATCAGAACGTTATAACTTTTACCATTCTCCAGTCTCAAACTTTAACGTGGCAATCTTGCATATCATCATCTTATTATGTTCAAATACTTCCCTTCGCCGATCAAGATTAGGACGTGAGATTGGAGAGAAGTAGACCAGGATTTGGAAGTGGGCTTTTGCAGATTGGTTGTTTTTTTATTATTATTTGTTTTTAAATTTATTTGTTCGGATAGGGTTCCATCTAATTTATTTACTGTATGTATTACCGTACAGCGTGGTTTGATTGGGCTTCTATTTATTGTGGGCAAATTGTTGTTTCTTGGACCTTCTTGTGCTTTGCATCGAGGCTGTTAGTAATAAAGGAGCACTTTTTTTCTGCTTTGTCTATGTTCATTCATTCATTCAAAATTGGTAGCATAGCAGCAGCAGCAGCAGCAGCAGCAGCAGCAGAAGCAAGGATTGTCTTCCTGCTGTCCTCTGCAAATCAGACCATCCAACTCAAAGATTAAAATAAAAAGTACTGGGCACATACAACTTCAGTTGAGCAGCCAAAAAAAGACTGCTTCAAAAAAATCAAGAATCAGAAATAAGTCAATTATCTCTCATGCGTCAGACAATTATATCTGCATGCCTTAGTGTTTGATCAAATTGTTGAGTGCTTTAGTAGCTAGGTGTCAGCAACTTTAGTAGCTGTCTCTCCTTTTTCTCAGCTGCCTCATTCTTTCAAAAGTGGAAAAGTGTACAACAGTACAAAGGAGAAATGACAAGCCTTCATGCATGCGTATGCTGACCCAAATTGTTTCAATCATGAAAAAAATGAAACTAAATACTAAGTGATTGAGACATCAATATATCATATAGACTTAGAAAAAAGAATCATAATTTGTTTGTGGTGTATAATATAATAGTGTCAATAATTATTTTTCTTTTGTTTCCAAAATAATTTCTTAAATACATATGGTATTTTTTTCTTTCGAAATTACTTAATCGAGGTAGGAAAATCAAAAGAAAGCAATTCCGAATCATAATTAGATTCCATGGATAACTAATCATACTATGATTAAATCCGATTAGATAGACAGATTTGATGTATGAGGTTGGTGTATATGGATATGTTTGCTTTTAGACCGAAACCCATGAAAAAACCCATGCCATGAACGTGAGAGTGCGTGGTCAAATCAGTAGAGCCGTGGCTTGCTCCAATCTGACAAGTTGTGTTGGGTAGGTCCCTAGGATGAACTTAACAAGCTAAGGTCTAAAAGAACATGTCCTCACTCAAAAATGTTTCGAGTCTCCTCCTTCGTCATATTTTCTTAAGTTTCATTCCTTAAATTCTTAAACAGTGGATATCCATCCTGTTAATATAAAGCATATGCTTTCTTGTTTCATGGTGATGCCACTTTCTCCTCTTATCAATCGATTAATTCTAGAGTTAATTATAACACAGCCTTGCAGTTCAATGAAACTAGAAATTAATTAATGCTTATAGAACTTGAATCCAACATGCATCATTTCATGTATTAAATCAAATTCTTATCATTTGTGTTGATCCTTGTGAGTCATGAGTGGATTTAAAATATGTAAGGATTAAATTTATTTATAGTTTCTGAAACTAGAAGAACTAGTTTATTGATTTTGTAAAACGATAAGGTTGATGCAATGAACTCTTCCGTCCGTGGAGCAGGTGAAGTCGCAGTTGGAAAGTCTCCATCTTCATCTACCACCCGCCCCAATCACAAGCTTCCAAGTCTAAAGTTCATGGGGTCGGCCCATGAAAATTGAGATTATGATAGTGATTTGATTTGTACTCTTTTATTTGCTTTCACATTCGATTGATTCTCTTATAATTCTCCATCTTTTTTTTTCTTTTGTTAAGGCCACTTGTGCTTGTCAAGTCCCATATGGGATAGCCATTAATGAAAGTCAAAAGGCTTCGTTCCACCATTGTTGTAATCTTTACACAAGTAAGTAGGTAGGTAGATATCTGGTTGCCAATTGGCAATGTCCTTCCCATATCTTACAAGATAGTTTGAAGTTCAAATCTTAAATCACAAAGTGAAAAAAAAATTTCCGTCAACTCTTTATTCACGAGGTAGATAATATGCTTTTGACTGAATTATAATAGATTTAGTTTCAACGTAAGAAATTAATACAAAAATACCTTGAAGCTTAAAAGTTGAAAAAAAAATCTAAATAAAAGACAATGGAGTACATTATTTATTTGCATTTAACAAATACGTGACAAGTGGTGATAGTGCAATATTTTCTTTATATAAGTGTGTGTGAATAGGAAAATATAACATATAAATGGACACGGGCAGCAGAGAATATTTTATTAAAAAAATGACAAAAAATTGCTAGCTACTTGCTGGTTTGAATAATAAAAATTGGCAGGAAAATTTACAACGAATTGATTCAATCTGAAGCCTAGACACAGTATACTAACATAAATATTGCAGGCTTTCCATAACTCCAGAGCTGATATCATAATTGGTCTTATGACTAGTATACAAATCCTTTTCCTTTTAGTTTGTTTTTCTTTTGATGATTCTAAATTTGTTAAAATACCATGAACCTACAAGAAAATCAAATTAAATGCCACCCCTTCCTTGTTTGAAGGGGCATCAAGAATTTGAGGATACAAATACTTGGATTTTTTGTAGGTGATTAAGCATCCACATTGCGAATAAAATTTGATTTTGCTTGGAAATCTAATATTTTTATACCAATATAATATTGTCCTTTGCATATTTCGTGCATCATCTAACACATTAATAATGTGATTCCAACTTAATTTGAATTACTATATATATTGTTTTTCTAATGGCAGTCACTCAAATAGTGAGAAGATGCAAAGAAGAGTTTTTGATCACATTAGGTGGTCATGCAGTGATGATTTTCTATAAAAAAAAAAAAAAAAAAAAAAAAAAAAAAAAAATCCTTGTAATTATAATTTGGACAAATATTGAATGCTACGTTAGGGATAACAGGTCCTTCCATCTATAGTCAATTTAATTTTCTATTAACTTTGACTCTTAAAGGAAGCAGGAACACGTGTTAGCTTTCCACTGATTCTCACTTAAAAAAAAAAATTTTTGATTAAAAATTCAAAAAAAAAATGCCAACTTTTTATTTATTTATGAGTAGAATTATTTTCGAATTTATTTATTTATTTACATTGGAAATTTTTTTTACTTTTTTTTACTTTGTTTAAAAGGATGAATATAAAAAAAAAATGATTAAAGATTTTTTTAAAAAAAATTTTATTAATTTATTCTGGATTTTTTAAAATAACTTTTTATTTATTTATATCAAAAAAATGTTTTTTATTTTTATTTTTATTTTTTACTTAATTTAAAAAATAAATTTTACTTTTAACTTTTTACATCATCAATGCAGGATGAAGATATCAATTTATTGATAAAAACATATTAGATTTAATTTTTGTATTTTTTTCATAGGCATGATTTTTCAATTTAATTTTTCAAGGAAGTTTTAATTTACGCTTATGAGTTTGAGATTTTATAATTTTTACATAAAATTAGTCTATTTCCTTATTTTTTTGAAACTTTTGAAATTAAATAAAACCTCAAGTAGAAAAGTAAAAATAAAAGAAAGAGAATACGAAAAAAAATAAAAACGATCCTGCATACATGAATAAAAAAAATTAACAAAAAAAATTAATCATTTTTGTATTGTATTTTTTAAAAAATTCCAAAATAATTAAAAATAATTGGAAAACGATTATTAGCAGTAAAAGAATAAAAAATTGGAAATAAATTTTAACCAAAAAATTTTAAATATATTTTTTAAAAACTTTTAATTGACTTTTATTTTCTATAAAATTCAGATCAATAGAAAGCAGACACATGCCTTGCTCCTTTTCAAAATTCAAAATTAACAGAATTGAATTAACTATAGGCGTAGAAATTTCTGCTGCCTAACGAACCAAACCATAAAGATTCAATTGTCCAAATTAAAACCCCAAGAGCGTCTTTGTCAAAAATCTATATCAAAGGGACCTCTTAATGTCCTTAAACACAATGAAGAGCAACTAGCATGAAGCCTCCTTTTCTGCTTCTGCAAATCCAAATTATAAATGAGACTTTTGTCCCAAGTACAAATTGAAATTTGGGTCTAGAAATTATCGTACAACCAATCAAGTGGTACTTCCAGAGTTTTACCCTCTACTAGCTTATTCATTATAGAAGAGGCAAAAACTATCCTTTGCAAACAATACATCAATAGAATGACTTTGATACTACCAGTTCCTTCCCTGCTGTTTAATTGATTTGATGGTGAAATCAAAGCTGAAGGCTTTAGCAATCTTTGGAAACTACAAGATTAATTTACAATAAGAGGTGACTACATGTTTCAACGAGCATTTGAATCGAGAAGATGAAAGACAAGCTTAGGCATGCAAATTCTATATTTCAGGACATCTCACTGAACGAAACAATTATTATACACTGGGGTATGTGCAAAGGGCGATCTCTACCAAATTCTCAACTAGGGGTACCCTCACCTTTTCCTTGATTTACAGCCTCTAAACATTCCTTCGCCCTGTGAACCTTTGATTGGATGTAAAAACTTCCGTTCTTAGCATTCCTCTCAAATAAAGCATCATACTTCTGCACAAGTAGACAAAATATGTTTCAAGACTTTATTCCAAATAAACGCAGATGATTGAACATGCAAAGAAACACCAACCTTCAATATCTCCTCCCAAGAAGTTTCCTCAGTGACACCAAGAATCTGCCGAGCTTCTTGCTCCGTCATGACTTTGCTTCCTCTGCGGATTGTGTTTTGAATTGTCTCTTGGGCAACACCAGATTTTGAAGCATCTGCATCACGCCATGCGTCTAGTCAAGAGGCTGGATAGAAAATTGTAATGCAATAATTGCCATTCAATTTAGTGCATCTCTAGCTTCTGCATTCTGCCAAACATGCCTGGGTCAGATGATTGGCAAAAATCTACAATTCATGTCTTTACTCAATGCCTTTGATGAGATACCACTGGGAATTTATCATGGAAGATGACATTTTTTTTTCATAGGGAAACCTCAAATAGGTCCCCAACATATTTTCAATTCTCAATTGAGTCCCAAAATAATTTATCAATTTGGTTCCCAATCATTTCAGATAATTCTCGATTGGTTCTTTTTTTCAAGTTCCATTAACGTATTCATTGCTTCCAAAACAGCAGAGTTTTATAGCATAAAATGGCATTAGATAGGAAATGTTAACAAACATTGACAAAAGGACCCAATTGAGAAATGTATGAAACATTTGGGAGCCAATAGATAAAATCTTTTGATTTAGGACTCAATTCAGAATGGGTTATACAGGTTAGGGACTAAATTGAGGTTTCTCTCCCTTTCTTCTTCTTTATTTATTCATTTATTTTTATTTTTTTTCCAACAAAGCAAAAGATATTGCATTCTACAAATATCAGCATCATGGGAAATGATCCATTTCGAACAGAAGAGAAAACAAATTGGGTTCCTCAATTATGCACCATATAATCTACATTAAAGAACAAGGTCTACAAAATTCAAGAAGTTGCAGTGAAAGAAATAGACAGAGGAAAAGAAAAAAAGTTTGCTGCTAACACATACCAAACAGGTGACTTTTGAGAAACAAAGCTAAAATTTTTTTGTTGAAGATAACAGCAACGGTATGGAAATTTTTTTGAAAGAACTTGAATGAAAAACAGAGACAAACAGGGGACACAAGAAACAAGGGAAAAAAAAATTATGCCTCTGCAAGAGCTGAAAAGCAAGCAAAAAAGACAAAAACAACCAGAAAATTAAGAAAGGAACAGGAAGTAAGAATTTCAGAACCACAACTCGATTAAAAGAACTGACAACCAGCACATTCCCAAACTAAATTTGACTTTCCCTCAAGTATTATACAGGGCAGATCAGTGGTTATTAAAAGAATTGTTTGGAAAAGAATAAATAATACTAAAGAATTCCATGCATAAGATTACTTGACCAGGGCATAGATTATTTAATGGGTTTCAAGATTTTTAATTTAACAAGTTCCTAACTACAGCTGACCCAGCAGCAGGAAGCAGTATGATGAAGTAACACATTTGGAAATATGTTACCCACTACCATGAACCTAAAATGTTCAAACCATAACTTAGATGTTTGCAAGAGCCCTCATGCCACTCTAGTACTTATGTCAATAAACTTGTGGTTCTCGTGATCTGACTTAGTTTAGGATGTAATTCTTTTCATTATCGACTTGTAAAAAAACTTGATAAGTCCATCATTAACCTTTATTCAAATTCGTAATATTGAAAGGATATGCTGCATGGGCGACAACCATCAACAAAAAAAGAGATAGTAAAGTAAATGAAAAAGATTAATAGCTCACTTGAATGGATAGAGCAACAAGTTTATTCTTTTTATTTTTTGGGGGCAAGGAGTCCAACTCAAGAACTGATAGAAAAAATGAGAGAAATCCAGTAATAACAGAAACAAAGTCTTACTTGCAAGTGCTTGACGGTATGCTTGAATGAAAGCCCTGCCTAATATAGTGGAGCCCATCACAATTAAGTTGGCAAGGATCTTTGCTGCCTGTGAAAACGATAGCATGCATGTACATATTAAATTTAAAAAGGTTTGTAACAAAAACTGTAAATATGCCAATCTTTATGGGTGAATCTATCTCCTTCAGGCATGTTCAAATGGAGAGCGCATGTGTACCTTAGCACACATACACACCAGTAACAGCACAGCGCACCAAATTTGATTTGAATACAATAACCTTAGCATCTGACCAATTTAGGCAGACTAGGAAGACAATTAGCTACAGCAATGGTGTTCCTTAACATTTGTAGAGGCAAAAATAAAGATAACAAAATAGAAAATTTAGTTTTAAAGTTTGGAGGATGCCTTCTCTTCCTGCTCTTGTACATCTAAACTTAATAACAAATTCCTTCTTCTTAAAAAAGGAGGGGGGGGGGGGGGGGGGGGGGATCAAGACACTTGTCAAGTGCAGCGTATGTTTCAATGTTTATTGGTAGAAAACTTCCAACAGTACTCTATAGAACAAAATTGGGATTCAAATCACATTATCACAATAATACTCTGAACCTAAGACATCTACTCAGGAAACCCCTCAAGACATCCTAATCCTTTGAAAATGTATTTGGATGGGTGTGAATTGTGGTAAAAAAAAACTTCTTCACATATCAGGCATACAACAGCCAGGAACAAAATTTCAAAGCGACAACTAGTCTAACCAATCTGTGACTGGTTGGAAGATGCCAGTTCAGAATTCAATTTACTCAGACCAACATCATGTCTATATTGCATGGGTTCAGGAAATATCCTTTTATCCCACTGTCCCTCAAACTAAATTAATATGCTCCTTGCTATCGAAGTTATGATATAAGTTCTCTTGATCAAGCTTTCTTTCTCAAATTCATGACAAAGAAACCTCCAAAACACCATTAAAAACTAACAGCACACAAGGAAAAATGTCTAAGCTCAAAAGCTTTCCCCTTAGCAGCCCTCCACAACACCTGATATTTCACCTACTACTCTCACCTGAACAGAGGACAAGACCATTAGACAAACTTCTGTAGACCCCCAACTTCAAATCCTACATTGTTTTCAGATACTCTGTTAGCGTTCCCGATGAGGATGCTAGATCACCTCATAGGATCTGCCAGAACTGCCTCGTGTTGAGCAATTTACAAAACAAATGTGGAAAAGAACCTTTTGAAGGAGCCTCACCCCAGGAAACAGAGACAACCCTGTCCTTGATATGACCCACCTAATCTCTCATCTCGTGAGTAAATATGTATTTCCTATTTTATCTTTTTCTACATTTGTTTCTCTCCATCTTCAACACTTTAAACTTTAACAACCTTCATTCGGACACAACCCCAACCAATCTTTAGTTTCAGTTTACTGGAAATACAGCTCCTAAATTGTTCCGTTTTCCTAAAACACTAATGCATGATCATTCCATTAATTTGTCCAAATACAGCTCCCAAATTACTGCTCCATTGAATTGCTAATAAAACATTTACAGAACAAGGAAAGCTAGCTATAATTTGGGAGCTGTATTTGGACAAATTAAATCTATTATTGTGCCCTTTATGTGATTTAAAATATTTTATGTATTTTATTGACAAAAACAACATATCTATTATTGTATCAAACTTTTTACATACTAAAACAAAACAAAAAAACAAAAATCAGAAAAATAACGATAAATAAATGCAATAAAAATAAGGAAGAAAAAACATACCATGGCTGTGGGTAGCAGAAGAAATTTGTATTTGCTTTGATAAATGAATATGAAGATTGATTGGACGAATCTATCTGCTCTCCGTTCAGTCAGAGAATCTCAGATTTCCCCGAAAGGTTGATTGACTTCTAGGGCTTTCTTCTCTTCTCCGTTCAGAGGGAAATAAGCGATCAATAAATTTTCTTTTATAGTACTAGTATTTAATTATTTTATTTTTTTGGAACAGTATTTCTTCTTCACCAGTCAGAAAATATTTTGAGGGGCACCGAAAATTGCTGATTATTAGTTCAATTGCATGGGCGACAAGCAGTCTGCAAAAAAACAAAAACAAAAAAAAAAAACCAACAAAGACGACGACAACATCAATCTTTAAGGCCCAGGACCTTGCGACCTGCATGGGCTGACAAACAGGGCCACTCATCTGGGCCTGAGTGAATAGTTGTTTTTTTCCTCTTTTCTATTGTCATCATTTATTTCAAAAAAAAAAAAAAAAACAATTCTAAGTGGTGTTTTTTTATTATTATTCTTAGTGCAACCTAGATAATAATTTATTTACAAGCTATTTTGAATTTTGGAATTTTTTAATTATTTTAAAAAAATTATGATATAGTACCAAATAAATTTCAAAATTATGTTTTAAATTTATTGGTTATGTGCCTTTGTGGATTAAGATAAATTCTCTTTGAATTAATGTTTATATCGAATATTTTTTGATAAATTTAACATAAATTATTTTTAAAAAAATTAATCAAAAGATGTTGATAAAATTTTGGCATATTAAAAAGAGGAAAAATAAAAACTTTTACATTTATTATGATAAAAAATAAATGTGTGATTTATTATCTATTATTCATTTATTACATTTCTTTCACTTCTTTCTGGAATACAGTTTTTTTGCAATATGCTCATGTTGTTCTAATAAATTTTGATCAGTTTGCATTTCATAAGAATCAATTAAATTAATTAAAAAATTGCTAAAAGATTTGACTAAATGGTACAAACTAGCTTGCTGTTAGTGTTTCAAAAATATTTTCCTTTTTCTTGTTTTTTAAAATGGAGAAAAATATATATTCCTGGCTATTTCTCCCTACAAAAAGATAGTAGGATGTAATCCAAAATTTATGTCGGGATACTATTTTTATTATTGTTATTATTTTACGTAAAAAATATAAAAATACAAAAAGTAACGTCTTTTAGAAAAAACAATAGTTAAATTCGCCTGCAACAGTAAATTCAATTCTAGAAGAAGGGAAGCCCAGTTCTACTTCTCCGTAGCAGTTTCTTGGTTAGCTTCAATTTTAGCTGCTACTAGATTTTTTACAAGCGTTGTATAGATCGGATAAAATATATAAAATTATTTTATTTTAATAAAAAAATTATTTTATTTTAATATCCTATGTTATATTATATGCCTATTAAAATATATTAAATTTTATATTTGATTGATTATTCTTTATATTTTTCATAATTTTTTATTAAAAAAAGAGAAAAAATGATCAAAGCGATCAAAATGAAATAAAAAGGAGAGAACGAAATCAAACAAAAAAATATTTATGGATTGAAAAAACCATATTTAAAAAAAAAGGGACCAAAATACTATATTACGAAAAAACATTCATAATAAATATATTAAAAATATTTAAAAACGACAAAAATGCCACTACATAGTGAAATGAATAGCACATCCGAGTCCGAGTAAATAGTAAAATGAATATAAATGAATAGTATTTTAAATAGTAAATGAATAGTTAATTATGATTTTATTTTAGTTTTATTATAACTACAATGTCAATACATTGATTGCCTTCACAAAAAGCATGTGAAATGGAGAACACCATATTAGTTTAAATAAAAATTCATAAAAATTTGTTTGTATATATTTTTTAAAGAAAAAATCCTTAACTTAAAAAAAAATCACAAATTACATGGCTAATGAATCCAAATATTTTATAATATCGTATCACAATTTATAAATCTATATTAGTTAGATACCCGCGCTACGTTGCGATCGTACAACTATTATATATACAAGATTAACAATTCGAATAGTGTGTTGCAAGTAGATATTTTATTTCTAAAAATTAATGTAAATTGAATCTATATATTGAGGAAATTTATTTGATTTATATATTTATTAAAAAATAATTTATAATATTAGTATAAAAACTTGTATTCAAATAATTAAGAAGTTCTTTCAAAACATTAATTAAATTATTTTAATTAAAAATATAGATTTTGAAAAAATAACAAATAATTGGTGTTATGTGTGCAAATATAATTAATTTATAACAAAATTGCATATATATCGTATTTAGCATATTCAGAATATAAAAAAAATATAAAAATATAAAAAACCCACTTAAATTGCTTGGAATATATCGAATTAAATTGATTTAAACAAAAACTACTATAAAATTGGTTTTGATAAATTCTGATTATCTACATATTATCAAATAAAACCTATGAGTTTTTTTTAACTAATTATTAATTAAAAAAAAACTCAGTCAAATTATTTTTTAACTAATTACTATTTTGTAAAAAAAATAAGTCAATTTATCTAAAATACACTTTTAGCTCTCCCCTCCACGTTAGAATTTATATATGACAAAACTATATATATACATATATATTGTACTTAGCAGATTCAAAATATATACAATAATAAAAAAAATATTAAAAAAACTCACTTAAATTGCATGAAATATATCGAAGCGAATAGATTTAAATAAAAAACCACTATAGAATTAGTTTTCATAAATTTCGGTTATATATATATATATATATATATATATATATATATATATATATATATAACCAAATAAAATTTGTGAATCTTTTAAACTAATTATTAATTAAAAAAAACAAGTCAAATTATTTTTAAAAAAATTAAGTCAAATGATCTAAAACACACTTTTAGCTCTCTCTCTCTCATCAAAATGTATATATGCAACTCGCGCTATTCTCATTTAAAAATCGCAAAAATAATCAATCGTATAAATTATAATAATAACAAAAAAAAAACAATCATGGTCTAAATTTTATTTCAAAAGCTATATATAAAAAATTAAAATTTATTAACAAATAAAATTATATAAAATTAAAAAATTAACTCAATGATAATTTTAATAAGAAACAAACAATTGAAGAAATAAATTTTAAATAATAAAAACAATATAATCAAATATATATGTTCAAACTAAAATCTAAAAAATAAAATCATATATATTTTATTATCGTCAAACCGTACATAAAACTAAAAAAACATTTATTTTTATATTTTCACATCTAATTTCATGATAAAAATATAAAAATAAATTATTTATATAAAAAGGGACAACTGTCATCATCAATCCTCCTTTCTTTTCCAAATTAGCAGCAGCCTAGCTGTAAAAAAAAAGTAATGCTAGAGTGACCAATCCCTGCCAGCATCCCAAACCGAAAAAAAAGAAAAGAAGCAAAATCCAACCACAAAAAAAGAAAAAGAAAAAAAAACACTACAGTGAATGAACAATCAAGAGCTTAGATTTTTTAATTTTGTTTACTAGTTTTTCATTCGCGCTATGCTATGGATCGGAAAGAACGTATAAAATTATTTTAGTTTGAAAATTTACACTTTATTGTGAATGTACCAAAATGTAATAATTATATTTTTTATTAAAAATTTGTATTTGACTAACTATTGGTTGTATTTTTCAAAAAAATTTCCATAAAAAAATAATTTATTCTTATTTATTCGATTATTAACTAAAAAGTTGTGATAATCTAAAAATAAAATCTAAAACTCCATGGATTTATACTAAAAATTTATTTTATAAATTATTTTTTTTCAAAAGATATAATACAAATTCTCTAAAAAATATTTTTAATATATTTAAAAATTCTAAAAATCCATCGTATAAATTATATAATTTTATTTAAATAATCATATTGTAAAATTTTATGTCAAAGAATAATATAAATTATATTTTGAAATTTCACTTAATAATCGTTTAACAAATTGGGTTGTCTATTTTTTTCTTTATAATTCTTCTTGCTTTGTCCTCTAAAGCTTCAAATTTAAAGTTTTAACAGGTCGTGTAAAAAAAAAAAAAAAAAACAAGCTCGAGAATCTCAAATTCCAAACCCCAGCTCAATGGCATTTGTCACCACTCAGAAGTTGAACGTGGGATAGAGAGAGAATAAAAATGGAATAATGCTATACAAGCAAATTTTTTATGCAAATACCCGTTGTGGTTATTTTTTTCAATGAAATATAAATCATTCAGATCAATGAGATTCACATTTTATCATTTACAGGTATTTTAGGATGGCAAAAGCATGGCTAATAAATCCATGGATTTTATAATATCGTCACAAAATATTATTATGTTAAAAAGTGTTGCTTATCCTTCTATTTATATGGTAATCAACATGTCCGTTTGTTTCAATTGATGCTTAGAGCATTAAATTATGTGATTGTTAATCGAATGTAAAAAAAAAACATTTCTAGTTCCAAGATTTCTTTTGTGAAAAAAAGAAAACCATACCAATTGAAGTTGAAAAAAAATTGATTAAAATGAGCAAATACGAGTTTGCTTGCATTATTATAGGACATTGCATAAGTAAATTTATGCTCTTGTTTGAATCTTTTGTCGAACTTTAAACTATCTTTTTTTATATTTATTTAAAGTAGTGTTACATAACACCAGTGGTGTAAAAAAAAATTACCATACTTTTATAAGGATAGTGTTTTTTAAAAGGAATATAAGGAATGATATTTTATTTCAATGACTATTATGTCATTTAACATTTTTACTTTTCAAATTTATCCTTAAATTTTTTATATTTTTAGAAATGATATCCGTCACCATGATGTCATTAAGCATTTTTCATTTATTTAATATGTGTGTATGCTTGTGCCTCTCGTACGGGCATAACAACAAACCTACAACCTCCATGAATTCATATCAGCGAGCTTGATTGAATTAACCCTCCGTTTGAATAGGGTAAAAAGTGGGAGAGAG